CGTTATTCTTTTATATCCTTTTGTTCTCCAAAAAAACAGTATTTTGCTCGAAAGCAACTAATGGTCTAAATATTGAACGCCTTACCGCGTTGAGCTTGTAATTAAATTTAAATTTTTTTAATTTTTATAAATATGGTTAAATAATCGTTAGCACTTTTATAACTACCGTTTTAAAATTTAGGAAACATCGATTGTTTTGGATTAATATCGGTAGTATCGCTTCTGATGCCTTTCGCTAGATGTTACCTCTGATTCACGCTAGGTGGCGTCGTATTACTTCTATTCGGGTTAATGTTGGTTAGCTGAGTAACGGGTATCTAATAGTCGAGGCACTCGACCATAGCTCTCTTGTTTACAGTTACATTTAACTAACAACATTTATACATATAACTGCGTTGACATAATTGACCAACTTTAAATGTATAAATTCCATTAATTTAATTCGTTTGTTTTATTTTAGGAATGCTTATGAAGGAATGTTTGCTTCAAACCAGGTTCATCGCTGAAAGAAAGGAAATACAGAAAGGCGATGCTCATTGATCTGAATCTTATAGTTCCGAGACGAATACAGACCCCTTTCTATTATATTTTATTTTATGTTTTTATACATAAAAATAAACAGAAACCATTTAAAAGTGTATTACTTACTGGGTTTTAAGTGGTATGTAAATGCAGTTGTAGTTTTGTATAATTGGGAAATAGAGTTGTAGATTTGTAAATGGAGTTTCAAATTTGGGAAGTTGTGGAGTTGTAGATTTGGAAATGAAGTTGTACATTTTGAGAATGGAGTTGCAAATTTTGGAAATGGAGTTGTAGATTTGGAAGTGGTTTTGCAAATTTTGTAAATGGGGTTGTAGATTTGGAAATGGAGTTGCAAATTTTGGAAATGAAGTTGTAGGTTTGAAAGTGGGGTTGCAAATTTTGGAAATGGAGTTGTAGATTTGGAAGTGGGGCTGCAAATTTTGGAAATGGAGTTGTAGATTTGGAAGTGGGGTTGTAAATTTTGGAAATGGAGTTGTAGATTTGGAAGTGGGGTTCCAAATTTTGGAAATGGAGTTGTAGATTTGAAAGTGGGGTTGTAAATTTTGGAAATGGAGTTGTAGATTTGGAAGTGGGACTGCAAATTTTGGAAATGGAGTTGTAGATTTGGAAGTGGGGTTGTAAATTTTGGAAATGGAGTTGTAGATTTGGAAGTGGGGTTGTAAATTTTGGAAATGGAGTTGTAGATTTGGAAGTGGGGTTGTAGATTTGGAAGTGGGGTTGTAGATTTGGAAGTGGGGTTGCAAATTTTGGAAATGGAGTTGTAGAATTGAAAGTGGAGTTGTAGAATTGAAAGTGGAGTTGTAGAATTGAAAGTGGAGTTGTAAACGGAGTTGTAGAATTGGAAATGGAGTTGTAGAATTGGAAGTGGAGTTGTAGAATTGGAAGTGGAGTTGTAGAATTGGAAGTGAAGTTATAAATGGAGTTGTAGATTTCCAATTCTACAAATCCGTTTACAACTCCACTACCAATTCTACAACTCCGTTTACAACTCCACTTTCAATTCTACAACTCCACTTTCAATTCTACAACTCCATTTCCAAAATTTGCAACCTCACTTCCAAATCTACAACTCCATTTCCAAAATTTGCAAACCCACTTCCAAATCTACAACTCCATTTCCAAAATTTGCAGCCCCACTTCCAAATCAACAACTCCATTTCCAAAATTTACAACCCCACTTTCAAATCTACAACTCCATTTCCAAAATGTACAACCCCACTTCCAAATCTACAACTCCATTTCCAAAATTTGCAACTCCATTTCCAAATCTACAACTCCATTTCCAAAATTTGCAGCCCCACTTCCAAATCTACAACTCCATTTCCAAAATTTACAACCCCACTTTCAAATCTACAACTCCATTTCCAAAATTAACAACCCCACTTCCAAATCTACAACTCCATTTCCAAAATTTGCAGCCCCACTTCCAAATCTACAACTTCATTTCCAAAATTTTCAACCTCACTTTCAAATCTACAACTCCATTTCCAAAATTTGCAACACCACTTCCAAATCTACAACTCCACTTCCAAATCTACAACTCCATTTCCAAAATTTGCAACCCCACTTCCAAATCTACAACTCCATTTCCAAAATTTGCAGCCCCATTTCCAAATCTACAACTCCATTTCCAAAATTAACAACCCCACTTTCAAATCTACAACTCCATTTCCAAAATTTACAACCCCACTTTCAAATCTACAACTCCATTTCCAAAGGGGCTGTCCATATATTACGTAATCATCTAGGGGGGGTCCACCAAATGATTACTCTAGTGCAAATTTTTTTTTTTTTGTATGAAGAAATGATTACATGGGGGGGGGGTCAAAAATGGCCGAAATTGTGATTACGTAATATATGGACAGCCCCAAAATTAACAACCCCACTTCCAAATCTACAACTCCATTTCCAAAATTTGCAGCCCCACTTCCAAATCTACAACTTCATTTCCAAAATTTTCAACCTCACTTTCAAATCTACAGCTCCATTTCCAAAATTTGCAACCCCACTTCCAAATCTACAACTCCATTTCCAAAATTTGCAACCCCACTTCCAAATCTACAACTCCATTTCCAAAATTTGCAACCCCACTTCCAAATCTACAACTCCATTTCCAAAATTTGCAGCCCCACTTCCAAATCTACAACTCCATTTCCAAAATTAACAACCCCACTTTCAAATCTTCAACTCCATTTCCAAAATTTACAACCCCACTTTCAAATCTACAACTCCATTTCCAAAATTAACAACCCCACTTCCAAATCTACAACTCCATTTCCAAAATTTGCAGCCTTACTTCCAAATCTACAACTCCATTTCCAAAATTTACAACCCCACTTTCAAATCTACAACTCCATTTCCAAAATTTACAACCCCACTTCCAAATCTACAACTCCATTTCCAAAATTTGCAACCCCACTTCCAAATCTACAACTCCATTTCAAAAATTTGCAACACCACTTCCAAATCTACAACTTCATTTCCAAAATTTACAACCCCACTTCCAAATCTACAGCTCCATTTCCAAAATTTACAACCCCACTTCCAAATCTACAACTCCATTTCTAAAATTTGGAACCCCACTTCCAAATCTACAACTCCATTTCCAAAATTTACAACCCCACTTCCAAATCTACAACTCCATTTCCAAAATTTGCAACCCCACTTCCAAATCTACAACTCCATTTCAAAAATTTGCAATTCCATTTCCAAATCTACAACTCCATTTCCAAAATTTGCAGCCCCACTTCCAAATCTACAACTCCATTTCCAAAATTTACAACCCCACTTTCAAATCTACAACTCCATTTCCAAAATTAACAACCCCACTTCCAAATCTACAACTCCATTTCCAAAATTTGCAGCCTTACTTCCAAATCTACAACTCCATTTCCAAAATTTGCAACCCCACTTCCAAATCTACAACTCCATTTCAAAAATTTGCAACTCCATTTCCAAATCTACAACTCCGTTTCCAAAATTTGCAGCCCCACTTCCAAATCTACAACTCCATTTCCAAAATTTGCAACCCCACTTCCAAATCTACAACTCCATTTCCAAAATTTGGAACCCCACTTCCAAATCTACAACTCCATTTCCAAAATTTGCAACCCCACTTCCAAATCTACAACTCCATTTCAAAAATTTGCAATTCCATTTCCAAATCTACAACTCCATTTCCAAAATTTGCAGCCCCACTTCCAAATCTACAACTCCATTTCCAAAATTTACAACCCCACTTTCAAATCTACAACTCCATTTCCAAAATTAACAACCCCACTTCCAAATCTACAACTCCATTTCCAAAATTTGCAGCCTTACTTCCAAATCTACAACTCCATTTCCAAAATTTGCAACCCCACTTCCAAATCTACAACTCCATTTCAAATATTTGCAACTCCATTTCCAAATCTACAACTCCATTTCCAAAATTTGCAGCCCCACTTCCAAATCTACAACTCCATTTCCAAAATTTGCAACCCCACTTCCAAATCTACAACTCCATTTCCAAAATTTGCAACCCCACTTCCAAATCTACAACTCCATTTCCAAAATTTGCAACCCCACTTCCAAATCTACAACTCCATTTTCAAAATTTGCAACCCCACTTCCAAATCTACAACTTCATTTCCAAAATTTTCAACCTCACTTTCAAATCTACAACTCCATTTCCAAAATTTACAACCCCACTTTCAAATCTACAACTCCATTTCCAAAATTAACAACCCCACTTCCAAATCTACAACTCCATTTCCAAAATTTGCAGCCTTACTTCCAAATCTACAACTCCATTTCCAAAATTTACAACCCCACTTCCAAATCTACAACTCCATTTCCAAAATTTGCAACCCCACTTCCAAATCTACAACTCCATTTTCAAAATTTGCAACCCCACTTCCAAATCTGCAACTTCATTTCCAAAATTTTCAACCTCACTTTCAAATCTACAACTCCATTTCCAAAATTGGCAACCCCACTTCCAAATCTACAACTCCATTTCCAAAATTTGGGAAATCTACAACTCCATTTCCAAAATTTGCAACCCCACTTCCAAATCTACAACTCCATTTCAAAAATTTACAGCCCCACTTCCAAATCTACAACTCCATATCCAAAATTTTGCAACCCCACTTCCAAATCTACAACTCCATTTCCAAAATTTGCAGCCCCACTTCCAAATCTACAACCCCATTTCCAAATCTACAACTCCATTTCAAAAATTTGCAACACCACTTCCAAATCTACAACTCCATTTCCAAAATTTGCAAGCCCACTTCCAAATCTACAACTCCATTTCCAAAACTTACAACCCCACTTCCAATTCTACAACTCCATTTTTAAAATTTGCAACTCCACTTGTAAATCTACAACTCCATTTCAAAAATTTGCAACCCCACTTCCAAATCTACAACTCCATTTCCAAACAACGTCTTAAGCTTACAGAAATAGAAACAATGGTTTTTAATACTTTTTCTTTAATTTTTTTTTTTTGTGTATAAATGATGTTTTTCTGTTTTTGCTTTTTACTGCCAAGTGAAAGTTTTGAAAACGCACAAAGTATATAAACCTTACAAGTATATTACACTGATCATCTGCCAGGAGTGGGTAAATCATAAACTAAGTCTAGGAATTCCAAACACGAACCTAAGAGATAATTTCTAGTTTTGTTTTTTTGTTGAATTTTTCGGCTTTGCAAAATAAGTTTAAGGTTTATCCTATTAATATAATAGACATAAAACGTATGAAGTGTGTGTGGTTCCGAAGAGTCGTTGTCTTCGCACTGATTGTGTATAGTTGCGTTGCATATAAAAATATAAACTCTGATTCTCAATCGCTGTAGTAGAGAGCTCCGCTTGCTAGCTCCGTAGTGCTTTTGTTGGCTTTTAGCTTCTGTTTGCTTCGTTGCCTTGGATTGATACTCTCATTTGGATCCTTTGTCTCCTGCTCCTTTGATCTGCTCCTCTCTCGTTCACAGTTCGCATTTGTAGGCACTTTAGTGTTTTTCAAACAAAAAAGTATACAAAAACGCCACTCAATTTGATCATTCATTTGTTACGAAACATAAATAATTACTGGGTCCTCCCTTTTGTTTTTGATCATCTTTATGCGGCAGTATTCAAGTGGCTGTATTCAAACGCCTAAGTACATCTTCAAAGTGTTCCGATAGAACTGCAACCTAAACTCGTAGGAAATTAACCGAAATAACAAATACATATCCTTACTATCCTTAAATTGCGTTTCTTTTGCGCTCGCTACCTAAATTAGACGTATAAAATTGGGCTGCCTCTGGGTGTCGCACCTCTTTTGGGAGGGTGACGAATGAGCGCTCTGTTTTTGTCTTATAAAACCTCGAGCGCGGGAGACGCGCGCCAAAAGCGAGCTCAGTAGTGGCTCTGCCTAAGTGGCGGGGTTGCGCTGGTTAACTCTAGTTACAGCTGTTAAATGCCTTAACATAACGTAACGGTAACCTACAACGATTAGCGGCCTGCTAAGTTTCCTTATTCCGTTTCCCTTATCCTCAAATCGGAGGTGGTCCGCGGATATAGCGCAGCTGGGGCGTGAAGCTCATGGACAGGTTGTTCAGATTGTCGCAGCAATTGGGTTGCATCAGACAGGCGGCGCAGAAGATGGTGAAGAGGGCCACTTGCATGGGCACTGCGGCCCGCGCAATGCGCCACGCCCATCCGCGCTTGGAGGCCTGGGCGGGATCCACTTCCTCGGCATCTTCCTCGGCGCTTTCCAGGTTGAAGAGCAGCGAGGGATCATCGGAGGGGTCATCGCCGCCACCTCCATCGGCAGTTGTCAGGCTCTTGAGCTGCTTCAGCACTAGTTTCTGCTGTTCCGGACTGAGCTTGGCCTCCTCCTCCTCTTGCTGATCCTCGCCAGCGTTCTTTCGCGCCTTCCTCGCTCCCTTGCCGCGTTTGCCCGGCGACTGAGGGCTCTTGGCAGCTTGCTGCTTGCTCTTCACCTGTCCATTGGCTTTCGGAGCAATCTGTTGACCCTGCTGATGATGATTCTGCTGCTTCTGCTGATGGCTGGCTGCCGTGCGCACAATCAAATCCCTGCAGGTATTCTGCAGATGCTTCAACTCGGCTTCAGCGCTCTCCATCCTGGCGGCAATGGAACGCATGGCCTCGCTGCCCGGCGCCAAAGCAAGTTCCAACTGCTTGGCCAGACGTCGCAGGACTCCCAAACGTCGCTCCCTCTCGGATAATCCACCATCGGAGGTGGCGCCTCCATCGGAAATGCCCGAATCCGAGAGCGAACCATTGGAGGCGGTGAACTTGGCAATGTGGTAGATGTGATTCGGGTCCAAGTGCTGTTGCACGGCCATCAGTTGCTCCTGGCTAACGTGCACCTTTTCGGAGAGGAGCTTCGCCACCAGCTTGACATTCTGGGCCAGCTCCACGGGCGTGGCTTGTCCCTTGTCCAGAGCTCCCTCCAGACCTTTGAGGGTGCCTCTATCCTGGCCCAAAGCCAAGTGGAATTCACTCAATCCGGATTCCAGTTGCCGCCAGGCAATCAGCGAGTTGGTGAGCATCTCCAGTTGCGTGTTGATTCTATGGATTAATCTTAGGTTAGAAAAGGGATCTTATTTGGAGATCTCAAGAGGTAAACTAACCTGGCATCAGCCTCATCCCAAGCGCTGTACATATCGCTCACTTCGTTCTTCAGATGCTTGTGGAACTCCTGCTCTGCGGACATAAGCGAATGCACATCCCAGGCTGGCGTGGAAGTGGAGGTGGAGGCTTCTCCTGTGGCCAGTGCCTCCACTTGATTGCCATTGCTATCGGTTACTGTAATAGCCACTGAATGATCCTTTTGAACGGAAGCTGCAGCAGCTTTCTTCTCTTCTATTGGTTTCTCTTCCTGCTTGAGTTGTTCGGACTCCTGTAGCTGCTGCTGTTCCTGCTGCTCCTCCAAGGCGCTCTGCAGTCGCCTCTCCTGCCGTGTGAGCCAGCTGTGGACGGAGGCGTTGAGGCGCAGCATGTTGGTCCTGTAGCTGGCCAGTTGCGTTTGCTCCAACTGAAGGGAGAGGAGTAATAATAGTTAGTTTTGAGTTTAACAAAAAAAATAGTCATCATGTTCTAAAGAATTCGACAACGAGTAAGTCCAGCGAGTAAGTCGAACGAGTTAAGAAAATTTTCGCGAATTCTTTAGATGTCTGAATGTCTACTTTTATTTTCGGTTCCTTTTGACTCCACACACTCACCTTGAGAGCCTCCACGGCGATTTGGATGGCCGGCTCTGTGTCGAGGAGCTCGGGAGTGGGCTTGTCACCCAGTCGCTGCAGCGAGTGCTTGAGCACGCTCATCTCCTGCTGCAACTTGCGGGCAGCCGAGGCATTCTCGCTCCAGCCGAGCAGATCCTCCCAGGCGGCTAGCAGATCTGCGGAAGAAGATAAGAAATGGGAACAATGAGGAATTGGTCGGTTAGGTGCACAAGGATGGTGAATCTAGTTAACAGGGAGTTAAATGGTGCACGAGAGAAAGGCAATTTAATTGGGTGCTGAGCTGGCAATCTCATTTCCATTTATAGTACACTTCCATTTCCATTCCCACTTTTAGCTGCTGCGAGAGGAGCCCTTGGTAATGAATACCTTTCTCTAAACGCTGCGCAAATTGCAGCGGAAAGTGAAACTCTGGGCCGACAAAAGGAAAAATCAAATCAACAAATACAAAAAAAAGGAAAAAGAAAAATCAGCCGCAGTAGTTAAAACTTTGCAATCGCTTTGCGGTTGTTTTCTAATTGAAATTGTTTGGCTTGAACGCTTTAAACTGCATTTGCAATTCCCTTCCCCTTTTTCCTGCTATTTCCGTTTGGTATATAGAATGGTTTTGTGTGGCATTGATTCTGCTTTGAATGTTGGGCGGACTGGAACTAGAACCAAAAGTTAGGTGTGAACCCTATGACGAACAAAAGAGCAAGCTTACAGCCAGAATCGGAAAGAAAAATTTATATTTAGTGGCGACTATGGGATACCTATTATTGGAATATATAAATATTCAAATTGTAATAGAAAATTGTATAATTGTTATTTGTTCAATAAATATAATGATAATGATCTAGAGCTCAATATAATCTCCTTATTCCTTAAAATCCTCACTATCTTTACCCTTACAATTGGAGCCCTTGTTGTGTATATTTTTATAGATGTTGATAGAATACTCATGTTACACACATAACTAAATATAAATAAAAGACTCACCCTAGCTGGAGTATACTCTTATGCAATTAGAACGAGAATTTCAAGTAGACTTAACGACGTGCTCTACTTCTTTGTGATCTTCAAAACTCAAAACTAAGTATCCAAGCGACAAGTGCGTGTTGCCCGGTTGAGTAATAAAAACGCAATGCGTAATGTGAGTTTTGCACAAATTACTTTCACCTTGGGGCTGGCCAAAAACGGTGTTTTTCCTGCCTTTTTTCTGTTTTATTTTTTTGCGATTCCCCTAGTGATAAAGGCCACACAGTGGAGGATAAAACGCACTCGCGGTGAAGAAGAAAATATATATAAACCCAAACCGCGATCCGAACTTGTTGGCAGCCAAACCGAAACTGGTTGAGTGAACTTCAGTGCAGCTGCAACGGAGCTCGAAGCTCGACTGGGATCGACTTGGACCGACTTGGATCCCCATGGGTTCCACCGAGTGGGCGGAGGATGGGGAATGTCCAACCCACAAGAGCAAGTCGAGCGCAACCAAAGCGATCGCGTTAGCAGAGTGAAACAAGGGGAGTTTTGCAGAGGGTTCGAGATGGGTGTTGGAGCCCATTATATGCAACTAAATAATTATACATGGAAAAACTACAGAACAACAAATTTTTAATTTAATAAAGAAGATAGTATTATTGTAAGAAATCTCTATTTAAATATCACTTCACTCGAGAAACCAACTTGAGAAAACTTTATTCTTGATTTCAAGAACGTTTTTTCTCGAATAGTCAAGAAGAAAAATTCTCAAAGTGAGAACATTTGAAATTTACTTTTTTCCGTACTATATTTTTGCTTCTATCTAAATAAAATTTAAAATCTTTTCACAGTGCAGCCTAATCACACGCACTTTGCTTGTGCGTTACCCAATCTGGTGGAAAATCAGTCGTCGGGCAGCAAATCAAACTCGTTGCAAGTTCAAGTTTAGAGTTGATGCCGCTTTTTGCAGATTACATTGGATCGGATTTTGATTGCAACTTAAGCTGGGAGTTGGGGAGTTGGGGGTCGGACTCCACCTGCTTTCCGGCAGATATTGAATAATCTTCGCTAGATAACTACTCGACAGCGGCAAAAAGTGCAAGAAAAAATTGCACATAAAATTGATTAGCCATTAACTTGGCTAAGTGCGAGAGATTACTGGCCCGCGAAGACTTTCTCTTTGCGCTAATCAAACTGCATGAATCGCTCATATTTCAGCGGTTGCAAATAATTATAATTAAGCAGCGAAGACAGGCCTAACCCAACTAATTTTAATTTTAGCGCAGAAGTATGTTTATTTTCACTTCACCGCTTCATCATTTTAAGCTTCTTTTCGCTGACATGCAAAATTGCCTGCTTGCTTGCTGCTTTTTCTTTTTTTATTATTTGCAATGCATTTCGTCACGATAGCTGAAATGCAAATAGCAGACGAAAATTGCAAAAACCGCAAAAGAGGGAGGGAGGGTAGATGTTTTGGCCAAGGTCGTTGACGTTGGCTACAAAATTGTTGGCCACAATGAGTGAGAATTTCCATTTTACGTGGGAGGTGTCGCCATTTTTCGAGAGAGAACAAATCAGACAATAAAAAGTGCAGTTAAGCAAACAGTGAGCCATATATCTCTGAGATCATTTCAAAAGAAATTATAATAAAAACTAAAAAACTGGTTATAACTGGAAAAACCTTACTGTCTTTTTAATTTAATGTTTTACTTTCCTCGAACCCAAAGAGAAACTACCAATGACTACCTCAATTTATTACTTTTTTTTTTTCCTTGATTTCAAAGGATACTCCTAAGGGAATGGCGTGACAAAAGGCTATAAACAAGAACCCCTATTTGTAGAAAAGGGCGTGTTCTAGTTACCCTAAGAAAAATACCCATAGATAGTTTCTTCCACCCTAAAATGGAATAACATATTCTTTATAGATAAAGCACAAATCGAGGCAGGTGAGGTAAGCTACCAACACCAAAATTAAACAAATAAAACAACCGAAATGATGACTGCCTGACCTAAGGCAAAGCTCAAAATATTTGCCAAATTAATCTTGAATAATTATGTAGAAAAGCATGCGCTCATATCTGTGTGGCAACAGAGACAACAATTATAGACAATTAGCGAAAAAGTATATATAAAAAATAACAACGTCGTTGGATATTTTTAAATGCTGATTAGAGAGCGGCACAGAACCAAACGAAAATTATCATAGAGATGCTAAAATATGTACAAAATGTGAATGGAATTGGGGCTATACCCATAGGTATTTCGTTTCTGCATGAATGAAGTAATAAATCTACCGAATCAAGCAGGAAATCTACAAACGGAAATCGCCAAAGCAATGTAAATGGGATTGGAAATGGAAATGCAAATGGAAATAGCTTGTAACTACTTCTTCAACGGTTCAACGCCCTCCGGTTAAAAACGCATTGAACCACTTAAACTAACCGCACTTAAACCATAATAAAACTTGAACAAGATCTCGTTCTCTAACTCTAATCAAGCGAAGGTCAACCACAAATGGGGCAAGCGATCCATGATCCATAATTAATGATATATCGAGTGACAACTGAGAACTTGAACTTGGGCAGAAAAACAGAGAAAAAACTTATGAGGTAATTGAGGCAACCGGTTCCGGCTTTCCTCGCTCCAAAACGAAAACAATCTTGGCAAACTTCAAAGGCGAATGCCACCATAATAAAGAACCTTGTTCACTATAGGAGTGTTCACTGTTCTGCATTTACCGTTAATTAGCGGGTCGACAAGAGGGGCAGCGGTGCATGAAATGCACGGAATGGTACAGTACAGTAAGCACCGGCTAAACCCTAATTAGCGTGGCAAGTGTCTGGATGGAGTGGCCAGTTGCGAACAGTAAGTAGTAGCCAGTAAGCCACTTGCAACCCGATTTGGCAGCTTGGGGATCAAAGTCGGTCAATGGGTCTGGCAGAATCGAGTGGTAGAATGGCGATTCTTTATGTGAATTGCGGTAAGAATAGCGCAATTGCTAGCGGATCTGTCGGTTGGCGGAGATCATCAAGCACTCAAGTGGCGGATTTATGATCCGAAACATTGTTGTGCTGCTTTTTGTGATTTCAAGTTAAGAGCTTCCAAATGTGGAAATCGTTGCCTGTGTTTCGGTTTTCTCGTTAGTAAGATCTCATTAAGGGCTAAATAAAGAGGATTCCATATGGAAAAATTTATAAGTACTTAATTCTGTGAACCTAACTGATAATATTATTAAGGCTTTTCTTTAACAATTTCTGATATGATCTTACAAATGATTTGCTAATATCATCTAATATTCAACTAATTTACCCGAACATTTCCTTAATATACTTATTAATAGCCCTATCCTATCCCCCTTAAACAATTCACCATATCATATCATGAATCTGTCTAACCAACAACTTTAAAGTGGGTTCCCCAAGCTGTGCTTAAATTTCTCTAAATACCAAGCGAATCTTTAGGTATTATCATCAGTCACTCCGTTAATTGCCTGCTTAGTCACCTGCTTACTTGGCCCTACTATCACTATCCCATCCAAACTGTTTTCTCTTATTTTCCCCTTTGTCGAGGAATTTGCTCTACTCGTTTCACTCTTATCTCGCTGTGCGATCTTCGTTTAGTAGAGCCCCATCGTTTACACCTGTTTCCCAATTATGTTTACCCCACCATCACATCATCTTAGTACACAGTACTTATATCTTTCTTTCGGAATGTGTTTGCTCCAAGTGTTTACCTTGTTCCGATGACGAACGCGATGTGTTGGTGGAAGAAGTGGCCGAAAGCATTTCGGATATATCCGTCTGGACGGCCACGCTGACTTTCCCCATTGTGGTGTTTGGTTTTTGGGTTTGAGAGTTTTCCCCTCGGCCAACCCTCCTCGGCGGGAAAAGCTCTCTTCAACCCCCAAGTGACCCACTTTCGTTTGAATGCCAACAACGCCACTTGAAATCAATTTTCGTAATCAATTTGTGTTTTAAAGCATTTCAATTCCGTTTTGCGAAGCACACACCACACAAGATTATGGGAATTTCCCCTGTTATTTAAGCAAAATTGCATTGAAGTTGGGAAAACTACCGCAATTTACGCGAAACTCTTATACGAAACAGGAACTCTCTTATATGAAAGGCGATAAAAGCACGCGATTTTCGGTTTTATGAATGGGATTTTCTTTTTGATGGGTTTAAGTAACTTTGCAGAGCTTAGTTAGGTTTTTATCACAGCTATTTTTTTGGCGGAATTATGCGAGATTCTAGTTAGATTATTTCACACAATTTCGCGGAAGCACGTTAAAAAATAATTATAGACGGGGAGGAAACAGAGAACAACCGCTTGGAACGCGCGCAGAAATTGAAGTGAGCGATGTAGAGAGTGGAACCGAAAGGCAGAGACAGCTGAGAGTTGAGAAAAAAGGGGAGCAAATGCGAGAAGCTGAAACTGAGAGCCAGAGGGCAAAAGCAACGTGCTCGCATAGCACAGTTACATTGAGTTATGCCCCTGGTCTTTATTTGTTTTCAAAACAGCAGTCTCTACACAACGAAAAAATACTTTGTAAATTAAAAAAAGTATATAAAAAATATTTAAAAATTAAAGAAACCACTTTGAATATTTTTTAAAGTTTAAAGAGAGAGAGAAAAGAAAAATGTAATTAGTAAAGGTTTTGTTTAATTTGTGTTTCGTTCAGTGTAAAAAACACAGAGAAGCTAGCACGCAAACATCCCAATCCCAAAGAGCCAACTTTTGAACTTGGTTTCGTCACACGCAATCTCTAAAAACATCTTACTTATACACATGAAAAATATATCTGTATATATATTGGTATAAAGGTCTGAGCGCCCTCTCATTAGATTCGGCAGCTCAAGCGGCAACAAAGGCCAAACCGAAATGGAAAACAAAAGCAAAAGTCTATATTTCAAAAGGCGACGTCACTTTTTTTCGTAACACGACCAACAAGAATTCAGAAACCAGACAACAAAGCCCTAGAAGCGATGACGACAGCCCCAAAACTCAAAAGCTGAAGCTACAGTTTAATAAGCACACGTACTTAATACCAAAGCGCCACCTAGCGAGTTCTAAATGAAGTCTTCGTTGGATGAATCTAAGCTTCAGTTTTACAAGCACTGTAAGAAGCAGATCTTTCTAAGATCTTTTCTTAAATTTATAGAACCCACCCTCGTTCATATGTACATAAATTAATTTTCCACCCAGTCATCACATTTGTTTATAAATATTCGCAGCGGGGCGTGTGACGTCAGCGAGCGAAAATAAATGTTGATCTTGTTTGAGGGTCAAAATAAAGCAGCTGGCTAAGAAAATACCTATATCCCTAAAAGCAAATTAGGCAAATTTATGGGCTATTCTAATCAAACTTCAAAGAATTTGGAAAATTTTTAAGACAATTTAAATGCTTATCATAAAGAATAGGCTATTATAGTTTCAGAGCTTCAGTGCTTTCAAAACTTTACCACAGACGCAAACCTTAATTGGGTAGAAACCATGTAGAAGCACTTTTATATGGATTATATGGGAAATATTCAGTCCCTAAAGTCTTCAAAATTGCCAGTTTATAATCCTTATAGGATTTTATAAGAGTTAATTGTGAATTAGATATTAACCGACTAAAGTCAGTAATTAATTCTTAGTACCAGCAACTTAAAATACATTATTTTTTATCTCAAGATCTCTTCAAGAGACCCAACTGAGACTTGAGCACACCATTACCGCTTCTGGAACGGGGGATCGATATTAGTGCTAGACTACACGATGATCTCGCAAACTAAACTCAAAGCAATCTAAACACGACAGTTAATGGATGATTGTTAAATTAATTTGTTAATACATTTGACAAACACACAGGCATTAGCGGCATTACGTGGAGTTAACAGAACGGATGACAGAGTGACAAAATGACAGAACACCAAAATAAAAACTAAATTAGGGATAGTTCACAGGACAAACGGATACAAACGCAAGTTGAGAATTATAACAATTTTAGTTTTGCTTTTGGTGTGTTTTGTAGATTTTATTGCCAAAAAAATAAAGAACAAATGCGCAAGAAATAGAGAAAAATTAATAGAACAGGTAAAATAAAATTATTTAAAATAATATAAAAAGTAGAACAGAAAGCGAATAATAAGTGTTGAGGACAATAGTAAGTAAATTCGATGCGAAATGCGTTTTGTCAAATGCAAGAACAAACTTTCTTCAAATCATACATCATATGCAGCACTATCGTATACAGTGTGTGTTTAAAGATCTATTATTTGTACAGCGATCGAAAGGCATCCGGATATAATACATGCTTAAAGCTTGGCTTATTAATTGCTTTACAATAATCCCCTTAGGCCGCCAAAAAAGCGGCCAAGGCGTCCGCCTACGGGCCGGTTGACCAGCTCGTAGAGCGACCTCAGCGTGCCCGCCAGGAAGCGGTAGAGCGCAAAGTGCTCCAGCATATTGCCCACGTCCAGCACGAACTCGATCACCCGCGCCACGAAGCGCGTAATGGGTGCACACTGGCACTGGGCCACCGGCTGCATCGCTGGCTGCCCGGGATTCTCAGGGAGTCTGAGCTCAGTTTCTGGCCGCTGCCTCCGCCGCCGGCGGAGACCGGATGCGGTAGCGGATGATGATGATGGTTTGCGTGGTGGTGGAGGCTGGAACTCACCTTTTGTCTGGCCAGCGCAGTGGTTGGACAGCACGGTGCCAGGTGGACCGCGCAGAACGGCCTCCAGGCAGCGTATGTTGTCGCGGCAAGTGTTGATGATCTCGTTCTGTTTAGGGATTAGGATTTACAACTCATTAGTATTTATTTCATATTTAATCCTATACAACTTACATAATCCTCTGGTCTCAGCAGATGGCATCTGATCTTCAAGGCTCTAGTATCGTCTAGGCGGTCACGACTCTGCTGCAGCAGGGATCGCATCTCCTGCTCGCCGTCCTCCGAGTCCGAGCCACTCGACGAGGAAGTGCTGGCCGGGATCAGCTTGATGCACTTCTCCAGGTTGCGCGAGGAGCGTCGCCTCTCGTCCGCCGTCACCGTGCGTCGCCTCCTGGTCGAAGTGTCGCTCTCGGAGGTGCGACGCAGCAGGGATTGAGCCGAGTGGCTCATTCCGCTAAAGTCCAGCTTGCGACCCACGGACTCTGTGCGCTGGTTGCTCAGCTGCTGGCTGATGGACTGGTTCTTGGGAGTGGTCATTAAAGCAGTGGCGGAGGCAGACAACGAAGGCTGTGCCGGTTGCTGCTGCTGTTCCTTCTGGCTATTGCCCACTGGTATTTCATCCATATCTGAGGGAGGTAAAATTATATTAATATGTAATATATATTTTGGGAGATTTATAGATTCCTCACCTTGACAGGACTTTCGCCTAACTTCCAAAGTCTTGCGACGGCGCTCGTACTGCAGTTCAAGTGCTCGCTGGCGACGGGCGTGATCCACGCTGCTGGTGATTGTCTCCTGGTTGATGTGCAGGGTCTTCAGCTCGTGCTTCTGCAGCGAATCCATGCGCGGCGGCGAGAACGAATCCAGATTGTTGGCCGCCGACAGGGAACTGCAGCAGTCCGACTGCGAGTCGATGAAATTGCTGCGAAATGAGAGGTTTGCATTTTAATTTTGATTTTGAGCGGTTATAAATAACTTTTGGCACGGCCTCAAAGGTCGCCCTCATCATTATTTCTTATTTTACAACTCACCGATAGTCGTCGCCGAATTCCAAGAGACGACGGGCTGCATCCGAATCAAAGCCCTCGGAATAGTTCTCCGAGTTGTATTTCTCTTGGTAGTTGTCCCAGGCCGTCTCCGAGATGCTGCTGTGATGGTCCTCGGTGCTGAGTTCTAGGGGGGAATAAATGGTATTAATAATTAATAATTATAGTGGGATTTTGGGAAGGTAAGAGGGCTGATTGGTGGCTAAAATATAAGTAAAGAATTTCGGAAACGGTTTATTAAATACCCTTTTTCAAGTATTTTAAAAGGATAAATAAATATTTAAGGAGGAATATTTTTGCACATAATATTTGATACCTTTTTCAAGTGTTTAAACTTTAAAGGCAAAATAAATAATAAAAAATTGAGTTTTTTAATCATAAATATTTGTAATGAACAGGTTTGGATCATTATGGTCAAAGAATTTGACTTTTTAGAATTTTAAAGAGCAAAATAAATAATTAGGAAGGATTTTTTTATCATAAAGATATTTTATGAAAAGGTTTGGGACATTTTCAGTGGGGTTTTGGTGCATTGGCAATACCTTTGAGCCTGGTTTGAACCGGCTTGGGTGCTTGTGTGAGAAAACAGATAGATAGATAGAGAACACATTTCGAGTAAACATAAAACCCTTGAAATCTTTACCTGCTTGCTGTTCGTCCTCGTTCATGTAGTTGGACAATGCTGCCAGAGCTCCCAGTCGCGTTTCGCTGGCCAAAAGACCAGCCGTCGTAAAAGATCCCACTCGGAATTTGGGCAGCATCAGTTGGGTGGTTTCACCTGCCTCTCCCTCGGCCAGCAGGGTAACAACCCCCGATGCCTCTCCCTTGGGGCTCAAAGGACCGGCGGCAGTAGCTCCTCCCTTCTGGATGCTCAGCAGGGCATTGGTGAACTCCTGCAGCTGCTGCGACGACATCGACTCGCAGGACTTCATCAGCGTCTGGGTGAGATCGCCACCCAGCTCGGAACCCGAATCTGATTTCCTGCCAGCCGAGGCGGCCGAAATGCGCTTCTTCCTGGCCTTGCGCCTCCTCAGGGATCCCTTGCTGTCCGCCTTCCTGGCCGCATTGCTTCCCGTTCCCGAGGAAGAAGCGGCCCGCGGTCTTGGACCCGGCGAAAGGGAATCCAAGGCACTCTCGCTGATCGAATGACTGGCCAATCCGGGCGGTGAATTCTCCACTATCCGGGCGGTGGTCATCTGGGCTGCATCCGTGGTCAGCTGGGACAAACAGGACACGGACCACGGTCTCTCCGACTTGCGACGCGTCTGCGGTCGCTTCACAATCTTCACATTCAGGCTCTGATTGCTGCTGCCAAAGCCCAAGGGCGTTGCTGGCTGACCAATGGGCTCCGCGGACCCACCGATTCTCTCCGTGGAATTCCCGTAGGAATTCGTGCTCGTTTGCATACATGTGGCAATGGAATCGGTGAAGCCCTCCGAAGTGTCCGATCCGGCACCTCCTCCTCCGTTGGGTGCCACTGCTGCTGCTGCTCCTCCTCCCTGAGGCACTGAATCCGTTTCGGATGCCTCTCCAGATGCCTCGCAGTCATCGGGCTTGCAGCTGGGGAGGAGTTCGTGCGTGTGGCTGCGGGTCAGCAGCTGTGGGGTCGAGGGCTGGTGCTCCAGCCATTCCTAATAAACAAAGATTTAGAATTTTAAGATTAATAAAAGGAAATATAAGAAAATTAAAAATAGTTTAATATAGAGTAAATAAACAAAAATTTTAATTTTTCTATCATATAGGCGTAAAATAAAAAATTTTTTTATTTAAGATATTAACAAAATAGGAGATTTATATTAGGCAAATATAAAAAAATGTAAAGGCTTCACACAAAAACCCCCTCATATCATTTTGTATGAACAATAATTTCAACTTTTTAATGATATAGGGGTAAAATATACCTACGTAATTTTTTCAGATATTAGAAAAAGATAATATTAAAATAGGAAAATACAAAAAGAGGGGAAGATAAAGGAAAAATTATAAAGAATATTGTTAAATAAACAAAAGTCCTAACTTTTAAATGATATAGGGGTAATCCTTTTCTTCATTTTTATATAAAAATTCTATAAATGCCTTTTTCTTCGGCTGTTCTTTTCTCAAAGATATCGAATTTCAAAGATATCAATACTTTCAGGTCGCATACGATATCCTTATTGTTATTAATATCCTTATAAAGTTTTTTCTCGGGCTACGAAAGGATCTTAACTCACCTCCACTCGCTGCTTGATGGGATGCGGCATGATGACCTCGCGCTTCTTGACCGTCGACGAGATCTTAATGATGGAATGTTTCTGCTTGGTTGGCGTCTTCAGTGCTGCCTCTTGGGCGTCGCGCACCAAATGCTCGGCTTCCAGCACCAACTGCTTGATTGAATCATGCGAGACCTTGCCCTGGAGAAAATAAAGAGAGAAAAAAATGGGGAGAATGTGAGAGGCGAGTTGAGGGAAATGTGTTTAGAGAGCGGAAATTAATGAGCGTGCCCAATCGGAGTTGCAAGCCTCAGGCGGCTGAATCAGTAAGTCGTAAAGTGAAGATGACTAACTACAGGCCAACTTTCGTAAGAGTATTCTTATTATCTTAAAAAATAACCCAAAAATCCATACATTATTCTATCAATTTTGTGACTCATTAAGAACCATAAAAATAATAATATTTTTTAGAGCTTCTATAATATGTTTAAGAATTTTTTTTAGTAACTGCAATTTCATAATTTTCCGAAGTTCCACTGTAAAGTGAACCAAAAATAGGAAATGCAGCGCAAGAGAGTCGAAATCTTATCTACAATGAGGAAAATACTGCGTAAAGCTGTGGAAGTGGTGGGAGTGCTTTTCCTTATCGCTGAGAACTCGGTCTCCCACCCGCTTATCGCCATTTGTCACCCATTTTCAGTGCACTTCAACGTCATTACTGTCGAGTGGATTTCAATGGATTGGACTGGAGTGGAATGGTATAGAAAAGAGTGGAGTGCAGCGGGTGGGGACTTGAATTTGCCATATATAAACATGCCTATACACTTTTGTTCTTATCTAGTTCTGTTTATTTCGCCGCCTTTTCCCTGCACCCCTTTACCATTAGTTTTTTTGCACAAGTCATCAATCAAGTAAGTGGGTTGCTCACAAGGGAATTTTTTTCATATGAAAAGCCTTTCGCATGACAGAAGAAATTATTTTTGTACCAGCCTTAACTTTGTTATGCAGAATCTTTGCTTGAGTAACTGAAAGTTACTAAAAAGTGTTTGCATGGCCTTTTACTTCAACTATCTTGGTAAACAAGCTAATAGATTTATTGCAAATCTGATATAATCTTATGGAAAATATAAATATTTCTGTAGTAAAGATATTTAGTATTTTAAGACTTCAAAAACTAAACTGTATTTAAAAATTACACTGCAATTCGCACTAATTATAAAGTTTTTAGAATTCTTAAAACATGTTTGTTTGTATCTCTCTTACAAAAAAAGGGTTGAGCCTTCCTTATATAGAAGTCATTCCCCACCTTCGCAGACCAACTGATAATGCGACCAAATTAGATTTAGGTTGCTTTACACGATTTCTTGTAGACACATATGCAAATCACTGAAGCATGGCTAATTATTCCAGGGGAATTAGGAAATATATTCTCTTATATGGGAATTATTTAGTTTTTCCCGGGTCAATTGAACAATTCGAAGGTTTTCCTTATAACAGATGTCGAATCTTTTGCCGGCTCTCTGTTTTCTCTGTAGATGTATCTTTATCGCAACTCAAGTCCGAAACTCACTCTGGCCGTCAGTGGATGGTTAATCTTTGGCTTAATTTAATTAACAACTTCCTGCGGTGAGTGAGGCACGCGATCGAAGAAGGCCTGGGCATGGGCAGTTTGAGAGCGACTGCTGCCAAAACGGAAACAATTTTCTAATGCCAAGTGAAAACGGCGTTTTACGTTCACGGTTTGCAGCTTACAATGTCCAACTTACAGTTAGTTGTGGCTAGTTGCCCAGTGAGCGCGTAAAGAAAAAAAAACCGAGCGATTGGGCGTTTGCGATAATTAAAGGCAATTATTAATGCGAGTGCGGACGCCGGTCTGCCAATTAAGTCCAAAACTGGAAAGCCAGAGCTTCAGATACAGCGGAGATATGGATTCAGCTTCGAATTCAACTTCAACTCCTTGGCAGCAGTGCCTCTTAGACTGTCGTCGCAGCTTTATCTCTCTCTCTGTCTACCCGCTCTACCTATCTCCCTCTAACTCTCTGGGCCTTGACAGTCGTCGATTTGGTTTTCTTGGTTTTATTTATATTTATACCCGCACGCAACGTGTTTTTTTTTGTTTTGACCAAAATCTAATCGCGTTAATTTTTTGTCTTGGTTTTTCTTGGAAATTTAGGTCAAATCAATAGTTACAATATTTATTTTATTGCTTTAAAATATGTATTTAAATTTCATAATAAATTAAATGTTTAAATTCGTATTTAGATACTATTTGTTTAATTTAAAACAGTACTAATTTTTGTAAGCACTCACAGTTTTACATTCACTGAACAGGAGTGGTAACAGAGGTCACAGGTATTTTATGTTGTTAAAATAATTGAATTTCACTGTGTAATTCACTGTTTTAATGAGTTTAACTATTATGTTTACCGTTTGTTTTATTTTCTTTTAATTTGGTATGCTGTTTTTTGTATCTCTCGTTGTATTTTTCATTTATTTAATGCAAATTTCGCAAGCAAAATAAACACATTTTATAGCTGTTGTTGCCGTGGGCTTTTCTATTGTTGTTTTAGCGCAATTGTTTGTTGGTTGGCTATTTAATTTTTGTTTTTGCCATTTGGCTATTATCTTGAATAGTCCGCTCCCCGATTTTCGTTTTCGTCCGACTGTCGGCTCCAACGTTGCGAATCACACTGAGGCTAATGCTCCATAGCTATAGTCGCTCATCGCTGGAGTGCACTCACTCTCACACTTCAAGCGTTTGTATATAAGTAGTGGGGATTGCTCCGCGAATTAAAATAAACTGTCGAATCGAAATGCGTTTGATAATAGAGGCCCATGGAAAAGAGGGGGAGTTTCTGTGGACAGACGACAGCTTGATAAGATAATACTCCAAAATCGATTTGGTATCGAATCTGCGAGAGGAGCAGTCGCTACTTCTTTCTACATTTTTCCATTTACATTATACTTTTATTATTATTTGCTCAATTTGTGTTATTATTCGTATCTTTGCCGAACACTTTAATTTGCGAGCGAATACAAATCATTTGTGGACATCGATAAGATAACTGAAATGTTAGTGTTTCGGTGAGCAGATAATTTTCTATTTTATATTACAGTGTTTAATTAACGTTATTTTCCTTTTTATATTTATTATTTAATTGGTAATTTTGATTTATTTATTAAACTCTCTTTGGACTGAAGTGTAATTAAGTTTCAGAGCTTATTTATTTTATGGTAATTATTTCCATTTATAAAAATCATGTGATAAAAACACTTGTCTATCATTTTGTGATAATTTATCAGTGATTAATTTATCGATTCCTGACTTAACGTCACTTTTCTCCTCTTTAAACACGACTAATTTAAATGGTGTCTTTGTCCATCAGCTTGCCAACTTTTTAATTTGCGATTTCATACAAATCATGAGTGTCCAATCGATAAGATATGAAATTCACCGTCCTGTGATCTCTGTGATCTGCGTTTTTCATAAGATTTATTTGTGCTTTGACCGACGTCACCGCTTTTCGTTATCTCTGAAATCGGTTTTGGTTGCGTCGACTTGATATATGGGTTTCCTTTTTTTTGGGGGTTCGGGATCGGGTACAGGTTCGAGATCGGGTTGCGAAAATGCAAAATTTGTCAAAATTAATCAAAGCTGCACAAGATTTCACTCTCAATAAATCAACAAGGCAGTGCGTTTTCGTTAAGGGGGAAACCCGACTGCCCTCGGCTGGAAAATGGCTGTGGAAATTGCGTGCGACAACTGCAAAATGCAAATGGGACTGTGAAAATGCGAAAATGCTCAAACATGTTCATATGCATAGTGACTGAGTGACCACAAGGGGAAAAAGTGAGAGTGTTGAGATGCCAAACACTTTGGCTATTCCGAAAACCCTGAGACGACATTGATAGGCTGCGACAAATGATGGGAGCACCTCGGCGGGAGATCTACCATATATACTCCACACTCCCTTATCCCCGTTGGATTTCCCACACCTCCACACTCCTAAAAAAGAGCTCGCATTACACTTCCATTACGCTCAGCAAGTTGTCAGCTTCGCATGTTTTACCACCGCTTTTACACGCACAAAAAGTGACCACAAAAAATCAGAGTCGGGAGAAATTTGAAACTACGCGCACGCAAACAGCTAAATCAAATCGAGGGAAGAGTAGGGGGTTTTTCGATCGCCTTTGGACCACCGACATCGATCGATTTGATAGGCCAACGATCGATGGATGGATCAAACTCATAATCGATCATGTGTAATAGCAGGCAGAGCGGTGAATTGAGGATCAAATGGGAAATAAGTAATCTAGAACAGGCACTAATTTGTGAAAGAAAGCAAGGGGTATCCCGCGGAACTAAAGATCATAACCCAATAAAGAGAAAGTTTTCCGAATTTTCTCATAGATTAATAGGAAGCAAACCTGGTTCTATAAAATATTGAACTTTTTTGGATGAACACAATTTCAAAGAGAATTTATTTCTCAATGTCTGTGAGAGGAAGCCCATAGAAATTTATTTTTAATTTTTATAATGCAGTGTTTTTTCTATAAAAATTAGTTGGCTGACTAAATATCTTTCACTTTATATCTTTTTAATATCTTTCAAGAGTTTTAATAACTCTTAATTCGGTTTATTTATTTTTTTAATATTTCCAACCTGACAGATTAAGTCACAAAAAGTACTGCCAACCCATTAATCATATTTAATCACCTCAACCCAAGAAACGGCACTCTCATGTTAATGTCTCAATCTCATTAGCAGGAAGCATAACTTCCTTCTTCCCATCATATCAATATTTTATGGCTTACCTTGGCTGGCGAAGCAATGCCGATGGATGCCGACATGGTGGCGTTGCTGCTGCTGGCCTGGGATTTCGAGGACTTGGCCGATTTGGCCGGGGATCTTGGTGGCAAGTGGCAACTGGCCACAGTTTCTGCAGGCCACACGCTGATGTTGCAAATGTCCGCGCGGCTGTAGAAACTGTTGTTCATCTGAGAGGAGAGAAAGGAAATAAAGCAATTTAGTAATCAGTATTAATATTAATTATTATATAAAATTGTAAAATTCAATCAAACTTTAATTTAATCCTGGGATTATTTCCTTTTATAAAAAAAACTGTCAAGAAGGCATTGCAACTATTTTTTTTAACCTAAGCTTCATCTATTTTTACCCAGGCTGTCCCTTTCAATTGTTTCGTTCACGTCGGCGGCTGGGCTTCTTTTCATTTGCCTTCAATGAAGAAATAAATCACACGTTTCCCAGTTAATTTCGTACTTTCCCATTTTTGACGTGCTCCGCTCAATTTCCCGACCGACCAACCAACCAACTAGGCGGCGATCGTTTTTCCTGGACCACGACTACCACATCATGCCATGTCGGTAGTCATCGATCGAGGTTTTCAGTTTGGAACGGAACGGCAGGAGTAGTCAGTCGGTGCATGATTCGCTTTCATTAACCCAACTGCTTAATCATCCGCCGAGGTTTTCCATTTATTGAAAAGTCTAAGCTAGGCACCCAGACCAAAACCCAAACCCAAACCCATACCCCTACCCAAAACCTGATCCCCTTTGGATTTACGGCAAACAAAACTCTTTTATTGACACAAGTCACAGACATGGCCACTAGACTTGAGCACTTGGCACTTGACTGACTGTGGGAACCTGTCTCGAATAGTCGACGAGGACCGAACTGAAACGAATCGAACTCGATTTCTGCTGCTCCACAAATGGCTGTCCAAGTTGCCCAGTTGCCCAGTGAAGGTTCTCAAAGAGTTGTGTGCAAAAATAAAGCTATAAAGGGATCTTGCATCTCGGTGTGTGCGACTGACTATAGATTTTATTTTCATGTTTGCCTACTTAAGAAAGTGACTTTTATTATTATTTTTACTATTAATAAAAATTAATGGAGTCATGTAGAGAACATTTAAAAGACATATAAGTTTACATTATTTAGAGGGAAGTCTTTTTTCATGATATTTCCTCATTTTAATGAAGGTTTCCTATAAAAGTAGTTTTAGTTGGAATATTTATTTATTTATGATTTCGTCTTATGATTAATCAATTTAATTCTTATTTTTATTTTTATGTTTTTGTTATTTATTTTCATATGTATATAGGCAATTTTTATGGTTTCAAAAATCGATTTCCCTTTTAAAAAATCCCACAAGCTGATCCGTAATTTCACTGTTAATATTTTAGTCCCCCCTTTACAATTTTCTCTCCTTTATAAAACCGAAATCCTTCATATTTATGATAAAACCCATTTAATCTACAGACCACTCACCTGTACAGATTTGCTGGCGTTTCCATTTGCCATATCAGCAGTTGTCTCATCGACGCCCATCTTGATCTTGGCCAGATCCTCGGACGGAGGACGGGCCTCCCCCTCGTTGTTGTTTTGCTGCTGCTGCAGCTCATGTTGCATGTTGCTGTTGCTGTTGCCGCTGCTGTAGCAATTGTTGTTGCTAATGACGTGTCTGCCATCGCTGGCATTGCCATTGATTTGGAACTCCATCTGCATCTGCGAGTGCGAGTGGATCTGCATCTGTAGCTGGGTGACTCGCGAGGTGGCCGAGGTCTCTGTGAGCCTGCCGTTTGAATTGGAGTTGGAATTGGAATTTGAATTTGAGGAGGAGCAGGCACTGCTGCTGTCGTAGTGCAATGTTGCTGCTGCTGCTGTTGCTGTTGCGATTGTTGTGCTGCTGACCAGCGTCTCCTTGTTCTCCTTATCGGAGTCGGAACCACCGGTTGCCGTGGTCGAGGAAATGGCCGTGGACTGGAGACCATCCACAATCGTGGATGTGGCTTCAGTTGATGTTGCAGTTGCTGTTGCTGCTGCTGTGGCAACTTCCAATGTTGCTGCTGCTGTCGCCGTGTAGAGCCAACCTTCGTCGTCGTCATCCGTTGAGGCATCAGCCGATTTCAGTATCTATATACGTGCAGAAAAGCAGCAGCGGATGGCAGATGGAAAAGGGAAGGGAAAACGCAATGGAACATTAAAATCAGTGGTAACAAAATTCACAAAAAGGAAAAGCCAACCGACGACGATGAAGATGAAGTGGTAGAAAATGAAGTTTAATTAGCGTTACTTGCGCAAAATGGCAAATTGTTCGGAGCCGGTGCACTGGCAACTTGCAACTCGCGATGTTGCTGCTGCTGCTGCACATGAGCAACATCTTTGAAACTCCACCGACAACAAAACAACGCCTTCTCTCTGACTTCTCTGACTTTTCCAACTCCTTTGTCTTTGTGCTGGCAATTTATTTCCATTTCGAATGGTGACGACCTCAGCAGTTGTCAAATGTGGGAGGAAGACTGAAGAATTGAGGGGGGAGGAGTGCTGAATTGAAGAATTGAAGGAGGCGGACTAAAGAAGTTGTGGAGAAGTCCACAGCAGACAGACATACAAACAAATTAAGTCTGAATGTTGTCAAGTTCAGAAGAAGGTACAAGATCTTGATCTTTTGTTGTGAAAAGATTCATCGATATCATGAAATATATAAGGTAAGCTATTTTTTAAATATTTAATATATTTTTAATCTATGATTATTACAAGAAAATCGCTTTTAGCAATGTAACAAACATATTTTCATTAATTTTAGCTAGACCCTTTCTTAGACTTTGCCGTAAAAACAGCTTTTACTTTTGTTTTTCCAATTCTTTTGATCTTTTGAAGTATTTCTTTTGAGTTAAATGATTAATGATCAAGTATCTGATGGTGTTGGGTTAAGTTGATAATGAAGACTACCGAATAATAGAATAGACAAAAGTTAATTAAGAAATTGTTAGGCATGCTAAAATAACTATGAATATTTTTATAAGATATATACGTTAGGTTACAGACATCAAAAATAGCGAGCTATCGATGCATGCTAATTAGTTGGGTAGAAGAGACTCTATGGATCCTAATCCAATGAAGAATCCAACACCGTGGTGACCCCGAGGTGACCCCAACACCTCGACGACGAGTGGAACGAATGCTGCCACCGATGATCTGCTGAGAGAAATCCGAGAGAACCGCCACCAGAGAACGGTACTTACATCGCCACCTCCTCCATTTCTTCGCCGGTGAATCAGGCACGGATCATCCTCGCTCTGGAGATCACTGCCCGCCGCGTTTCCCTGCTCGTTGTCCGTGTCCAAATGCTTGAAGTAGAAGATCGCACAGTTCTTCGACTTGCGATTGGATCGGTTGAACTTGGAGGTGTCATTGTGATGGTGATGATGACGCGTCGTCTTTCGCAGTCCCAGCGGCGACTTGTTCAGCTCGTGACCGAGACTGTGACTGAGTCCGTGACTGGTGTTCCCATGTGAATTGGGTGTGATTACCGCCACGGCTATGTTTTTGTTATGCGCCTTATTGGGCAGCATTTTGTTGCCGATATGATGACGCTGCTGCAGCAACGAACTGCTGCTATTGATATTGCTATTACCGCTCTGCTGTGGCATGATCTCTATGAGATTGAGGACCCTTCGGTTGCTGCTGCTGCCCAACTGCTGCACCTGCTCGAAATCACTGCTCTCCGAATCCGCCTCGAAATCCGTCAAGGTGGCTGAGCCACTGGGATTCGGATGGAGGTGGTGTCTCCACGATCGCTTGGCAATCAGAAAGTCCACCACATCGGTGCCCAGAATCTCGGGATCCTCCTCGTCCTCCTCCTCTAGCTCCTCATCGGCCTCATCGCCGGGCTGGATGCGAGTAGTCAAAAGGGTTTGGAGGTGTTAAGTGGGTGGGTGACACACAAAAAGGGAAGTGGGTCGGGATTTTAAGTCCCATGGGTTTCACACACTCATTAAACACATGCTCTTGCTCTCTTTGCCCTTCGAGTAGTGCCAACTAGGTTTTGGTGTGGGTTTTTTCTTTGGGATAATGGATGTGCTTGTGACTGGCCAAAAAATATAATTTTGATAGGGATTGTTTTGTAATCCTAGCTCCCGAATTTCAATAAAATAATTATCAGGGTCAAAAAACCGAAAATTAAAAGATTTTTTGATAAAAGATTTTCTGGATAGATATTTAGATTAGTTTCCTTTATAATTAGTTTTTTTCTGCCTAATTGAGTTCTGTTAACTAGACTTTTCCAATTAAAAAATTCTAGAACTTCTAAATATTTATACCCGTTACTCGTAGAGTAAAAGGGTATACTAGATTCGTGCAAAAGTATGTAACAGGTAGAAGGAAGCGTTTCCGACCCTATAAACTATATATATTCTTGATCAGGATCACTAGCCGAGTCGATCTAGCCATGTCCGTCTGTCCGTCTGTCTGTCCGTCTGTCTGTCTGTATGAACGCTGAGATCTCGGAGACTATAAAAGCTAGAAGATTGACATTTTGCATGCAGATTAGAGGAGTTCCTACGCAGCGCAAGTTTGTTTCAAAAGGGTGCCACGCCCCCTCTAACGCCCACAATAGCTTATATACGATTTTAAAAATTTCAATATTTCGGAAAAGTAAAAAAGCAGTTTTATGGTGTTTATCAATACCTATCGAAATGTAGAAACAATTTTTTAAATCGGACCATTCGTTAAAAAGTTACGGCGGATTAGTTGAGTAACGGGTATCTGATAGTCGGGGCACCCGACTATAGCGTTCTCTCTTGTTTTTTCTTTAAATTTTCCCCTTTACTGTTCCTTTTTTTTTGATGATGCCCAAAAATATCATCGTGTACCCTCGTCTGCCAGATCATTTGCTAAGTATTCTGTTTTTCCTTTTATGGTCTCGCGGTTCTGGGATAACGTTTTTCGTTCTTATTTTGGGTTATGTTCATTTCGGGTTCTTTTCGGTTCTTTTTGGTTAGCTTGAGCTGGGGGTTAGGATAGGTCAGGTTAGGCGGCTCAGAAAGTTGACAATACTGTGTGGGAGGCAAGGGGCATGCAACTAAACTAACAACACAACAAAACGACAAGTCAAACAAACAGTAACTACATACAGGATATGCAAATCATTCAGACGAAACGGGGGATGGGATCATCTAGCATCCTCCATGAGATGACTTACCTTTTGAGGTGCAAGACAATCGCGTGGCTGATCCGCTGACAGAGAAGACTCCGCTTGGGAAGCTGGGATTTGCTGGGACGGCGAATGGGATTGCGAATGGGACTCCACAATCTGGGTGGCTGCAATCTGGCAGCGCTGGAGGATCAGTTCCGCGGGGGTGGCGGCGGACGACTTGGCCGACTCGCTGTTCTCCAAATCCAGATCCGAGTTGACCTCGTTCAGATCGTCCTCGGTGGCTTCGCCCTCGTAGCCAAAGGAGTCGTCTTCGGTGTCCTCCTCTTCGTCCTCGTCGTCATCCAAACCATTCTGCAAGAAACGGGAGAAATAAATCTTAGATTAGTTTGGGGTTTCAATAAAGTTGTGAATATGTGAGCGCAACACTTTTTAATTGGACAACTCTCGTGTGATCTTGATCTTTTATCCATGGCTACTGGTTAGCTAAGAAAAATTCCAGTCCACTCCAGTCTCCTTTTTCATTATTTGCTCTTCCTGTTTCCATCACGTAACACTCTTCCTCTTTTCTCTCATATGCTGGCTAAAATTATAATTGCTTTCAATTGTCGACACACGAAGCTCTCGCATCGGAGATCAGCGGGTGGACACAGACTTCGGACGGCGGACATCGGACAACAGACAACAGACATCAGACAGTCGAGCAAACAGACAAATGGACAGAAAAGCCGAGACAGTGAGACAAACTGGCAAACACTTGGCCAGACAGATGTCAGATAAGCCAAGAGGCGAGAAAAGCGTTGCTATATAATATACCCTCTCCGAATTTAAGATTTCACAGGGGTCTCCCAAACTAGAAATGTTTAATATCATTATCATACCAAAAATCATGTCATTATTTAATTAATTAAAATATAATATTTTTTGAAATATTACGAACTAATTTCGATCTTCGGTTTTTTATCCTAACTTAAGGTATACATAGCTATAAAATATATTCAATGCTGACAATACAATAACTAGAACTTTTTAGAATTATAAACCGAATCCATTTTTAATAATACTACGTGTAATAAAATCTTCGGACTTTACTTGTATTTGTAAAATCCTAAATAATACGATCCTAAAAATTGTTTTGATATTTTATATTTTTATCCATAAATAGTTTATAATAAGAATTCCTCACACCTTAAAACAAATTCCCTTTTCAATAATAAGAGTAATCAAGTCTTCGACTTTTCAAAGTTTTTCCTCCACATTTTCCTTTTCTTTTTTCATGTACACGCCCACACACAAGTGAGAGGCGGCGGCAGGCGGTGAGCAGGCGTTTGAAAAGGCCTTGATGGCATTTCAAAAATGTTTCGCTTTTTACCAGAACTGTTAGAGAAAAGATGCCCCTTGGCACAACCTCGAGTGACCTTGGTCTATCCGCAAGTGCTCCCCTTTCCCTTCCCTTTCCTTCGCTGCTCTGAATTACACACATGTAGAAAATGTAGTCTTAACACTCCATAAAAATTAAAATAAAAAACTAACGAAATTCCACAATTAACCCAAGAGACCTCACCCCTGACGATCAGCAATCAGCTGTGGAATGGCTTTTACGACCATCAGATGTTTTAGCTTGGCAATTTAGTATGTTCGCCTTTTCGGATTTGCGTAATTTCGTTGTTTCTGAACACTAAAAACTAAAATCCCGTGGAGGCCGCCCGAAGGTCGCTCTGAACATCCGAAGAAGCTTGTTCTCCGCGGAATCCAAAGATCCAGCAGATTATGTGGCTAATTGTCCAGATGATTTATGGCCCGGGAATTGCTTATACACCTCTTATATGGCGCCATTTGATTGTTTTTGTTTATGGTAAACAGTACTGGAGATTTCGAACAACAAAGAGGTGAAATGTGTAAATGGACCAGGCCATCCAAAAGTGTTGTAAATAAATAGGGAAGCAAAAGAGGGCCAGACAAGCCATCAAAAGTGATGGTGGTGGGTAAACAAAGTAGTTCATGGCGAATCTTTGGAATACCCCTCTTCTATCAGATGAATTTTTTTTATCTTGAATATTTATAACTGGACGATCAAAGAATTTGTTTATTAGCCACGAATTAATTTGTATCTCCCCATATCAGTTTCATCTCGATCAAGGGGAAAACAGTTTTTACTGATCCATCAACAAATTATTTATTTCCCTGTTTAATCCGAGATCTCTGATAAGTTTTCACTTTTCTGTGATCTGGTTTCTAAGCTTTCACCAAATTAGCATAACACCCGCATTTCGTGATGCAACCTTTTCCATATCTCCCTTGCTTCATGCTTTCAACTAATATATTTATCCAATCTCTTAAGCCAATGAAAAACAAATTAGGCGGAAAAACTCCGTTTACTAAACGGTACAAGTTGAGTAGCCAGAAAAACCAAGAAATCCCTAAGAAATCTGGTTAAAGAACCTCAGACTACCCACAGTGTTGAATGGTATACACACATATTTATGTTCTTATTATGCAAAAGTCGGGAAAAATAAAGAAAAGGAAGGAGGGAAGAGAAGATTACAGAACCTAGACAACCATCAAGATTTGGGCACGCCTTCCACTTTCATTTAGCTGGAAATTAAGTTCATCTTGACGCACTTCAGCAGAACTCTTATTTTAAAGAGGAAGGAAAAAAAGAAATATGGGGAGAACGTGTCGTGCCAGTCGCTTAGCACCTCGTTTACACCCAGCTCATGATCTTCTCCAGGAAAATCCCCTCGGGTTCCCATTCCCATTTCGATTCAGATCTCAACACGCAATTTCTGGTCATGTCACAATTTTCGTTGTCACTTCAGCGACTGGCTATAAACTAGAGCGATAAACATCTATATCTCTAACATATCTCTACCAAAGTGTGGGAAATTCTCCTGCCCAAACAATTGCTACTGTCTTTCTGTGCATTTCATTTGAAATTATGAATTTCTCACACGCCAGCGATTAATTATCGTTAAACGCCGGCATATCGTCAATATCTGGTTATTGGATAGCAGAGGGTATTTATTATAGAGGGGCTATATATGTCTGTACCAGTCTTCATTAGCATGTGCTTGTATGACTGTAATTATCGTGCAATAAAAACGTGAGTTGCATTCGTCAGACTGTGATATTTATTTTCTATTTATGCCGGACTTTTCGTCAGAGATATCAAATGCAAAGAGCTGAGTTTATGAGGTTGCTTGGGGAGTTGGTTGATCGATGGGTTTGGTTTGGTTGGGAAAACGGAGAATAAAAGTGTATTTGAGCCATCAAGTTTATGGAGAGAAGATTACGTGAATGGTTTCATTTATTACACATGGAATTTGAAGGCCCATTAAGCAATCTATCAAGCATTTATAACCTTAAAGAAAAACTGTCCAATAAAAATTTAAATATTGAGACTCTTAATTTGAGAGTTTTAAGTGTGCAAAATAATAGTTTTTTCTGTTAATAAATAATTTAATATTAATGTTTAAAAACATCCTCTCATTTCGCTCCTTTACTTTTAGGTGAAAGTTAAAAATATTTATAATAATTAATTTGTGTATCCATTCAATTATATCACCTTTTATAAGATTAGTTATCTAAAAAAATATTTTTTAGCCTTTTTGTTTTAATACATAACTCCACCACTTGTCCCCCTCTAAATTTCTGTAAACTGAGCGAAATTTCGCAACAATTACTCAATTCGGCACAAAACATTCAATGAATTTTAATCCAGCGGTGACAACGGCGACAACAGCAACATTGCCGGTACAGCAGCAACTTTAACTCCAACGCGACTCTGCGAGGGGAAAAACTCTCCAATGGCGCGACAAAATTGCAGACACAAAAACACCAACAAAAACAATAACATCGGCTGCAGCAACAACAACATCGCAGCGTTGACAGCCCGCACAGACTAACAGACAACAACAATTGGCAAGCGAGCAACATGAAAACTTCCAAGTCATATGGAAAACGGGCAACCACCCCCTTTTCCTCCCCCTCGCCATGCACCACCCCCTCAAACAACAACAACAACAACCCACAGCAGCGACAATATTATTACTTTCATTGTTGTTGCTGTTTGCTGGTGTTGTTGCTGGTGGCGTACGGCAAACATTTCCTGGTACAGCAGCAGCAACTTGGACGTCTACAATTTAGCTCAACTATTACAAATCGCATTAGATGCTAAATTTAGCAAAGCACAGGAAAAATGCAAGCATTCAAGTCGCTTCGCTGCATTGGTCGGAGCAGCAACAGCAACATCAGCAGCAGCAACAGCAACTAATGTTGCTGGCGTGCCGTGCAACGTGCAACTTCGACAGGCCGTCGGCCATAGTTTGCATATTTTCACTTCAGACCCCCCTGCCAATTCTCGTTCTCGGTGTCTGACCCTAATCTGCCGACAGTGCAACATGTTGCCGCCACAGAACTTCGGGGGCTCTACATATATAGTATAGTATAGTATAGGTATAGTTTGGACCGATTTAAACGTGGGTGTTGCCCACGCCAGATGGCCCACGCAGAAAGATGCTAATGCCCGATTCCTGGCCACGCAATTGCTCATAATTTGCAGGTTGCTGGCGGGTTAGCAAAGGAGTTGGAGTTGCGGGAGAATTACAGACGAAAAAATACTTCATTTTACTATAAATGATATAAATGATATTAAAATCAATTTTATATTCAAAGGTAATATAATGCAAATATTTACATAAAATAATGTAAACTTGATATTAAAAATTGTACTTTTTGTCAAAAATTGTTGAGAACGAGTTGATACTTACATTGTTTACAATAATGTTAAATTGATATTCAAAAAAGTCAGTTTCGAAATTAAAACTATTTTGGATTTTATTGTTTTGATATTATTTATTAGTTATTTTTATCTTTTAAATTTTGATAATAATTTCATTCCATACCGACATAATTTTGTTACTTTTAATTTACGGTGTAGGGAAATATTTAAAGGTGTTGCTTGGCAAAATGAAAATGAAATATTGACAATTGAAGGCGAATTTGATTCGATGCACAGGCAAAGTCGAAGAAAACAAAGGCAGGCAAACAAAAGTCGCGAGTTGACATTTGGCAAATGTCAATTTGAGTAAGGTTGCTGGCAGCACAATAAATCGCATTTGAAGATGTCGCAGTTGCAGTTGCTGTTGTTGCTGTTGCGCCACACGACACCGCAGCAACATGTTAACTGCTGCTGCTCTCGTTTTGTTTGCATTTCGCATTTGGATTTGGATTTGGGCAACAGAAACCTAAAAACTCACTCTATCGATTCCCGATTTTCCCCGACTTTTCTTTACTTTCCCAGCTCCCCAGATCAGATCGTTCGATCGATATGGGAATGTGGCCCGTTTAACCAACAGCTGCTGGCAATTTGCTTTTGTTGATCGTTTATTGTTGTTATTCTGGCTTTTCTTTATGGCTTTCCCTGGCGATCATAAATCAATGGCCCAGAAAGCCTCAGAAAGCCAATGTGTGCGATGATCACAGATCGAATCAGATCACAAAACACCAATCTTATCCGTGATAATACTACGATACTCTTAAGTCTCAGACTGGCATAAAATAATGAACCATTTAAGTGGCTTCGGTTTCGATCATTAGAAAGAGGGGGTAATTGAAAAAAACTGGGAGGCAAAAACTCGAGGAAACCCCGAGGAATATTAAGCCAGCCAATCTGTCATTATCTTGGCCAGAAACTAGAGCAGCTAACGGTTTTTGCCTAGTGTGTTGTGTATTATAAAACCATTTCGGAGCCACCCAATTTTTTTTATGTATGTTGCGGTTGCACAGAGTTTTTTCTCCTTACATGTGGCCAAGTTTTTGTGTTTAGTTTTTGCTATTTTTCTAATAGCCTCAGATAAAAAATAAACTATAAACTTCCGCATTTAATCGTAAATTGTGGGTGTGCCTCTTGTTTCCCCCCGATTTTACATAATTATTGTGATTTAATTTGTGCTGCTTTCCGGGACACACCAACCAGCAATATGCAACCTGCAACTAGCAACTTGCAACATGTGTAAGCAATCAACATGCATAAATTGCAGTTCCGATTCGGTTCCGACGTGACTGCCAAGCAAAATGGTTAACCACTCCCCTTCCATCCACCTCCAATTGTCAATTATTATGCGATTTGCATTCACTCATTTTAAAGCCTCGTTTTGTGGTTCACAAAAAGAGATGGAGAAAAAAATCGAAAATTTGCATATTTCTTGTATTTTTTGGGTGTGGACTTGTGGACGACTGGTAGCTGGTAGTTTGAGGATTGATTTATGTCGGTATTTGATTGATGTCTGCTGGTTAGCAAAGCCAAAGCCACTTTGTTGCTGTTGCACTGATGATGGGGCCAATTAAATTCATAAATATATTGATGGACGCTAATTGGTACATGGAAATGGGTGGCCAATTAGTGATATTAGAAAAATGATGACAGCTTCAAGGCTTCCAGAAAAATGATAACTTGATTTCCTAGCATATTCTTCTCCTTCAACTCCCTCACTATAATAAATTCCAAGATCATTTCCCTTTCAAACCAACAGATGTTTCCCAGCCTGCAGTTCAACCTTCAACCCGTTCGAAAAAAAAAACTTCAGCCAAAGGTCTTGTGGTCTCTGTCTGCTAAACAAACACACAGTTTCCCAAGAATAAACAACATAATCCCAGAGAGAAAAAAAGAGGAGGTTCAGGCGAGATATAATAACAATAATAACAACAATAATGGGGCATAATTCAATGCAATTCAACTGCATTTGTTTATCGAACATGTTTTGCCGGAGAATAAGTGTGGGAAACAAAGAGAAGAGGTAGAAAAGCGATGCAACAAAGGAAGACATAAAATTAGTTGGGCAAAAAAAAAAGTACCAGAGTTTTAAGTACACTTTCAGCTGGGAATAAAGACCTCTATATATTGTAACTATATGGATAAGTAGATATATAAAATACAAAATCATCTACAGGTTTCTCATCATTAAAAAGTTAAATATCATAGGGTATTTGAAAAATCGTTCAAAACAAGCCATCCTTCTGGCCATTTTGTTTTTATATTTTCCAAAGTTCAGGCACGTCGTAAATTTGATTTGGTTTATTTCCATTTGCCCTGCTGCTCTGTTCATTTCGGTCACTTTCATTTGTTTCGGTTCGGTGCTGATTTTCGAGCTGATTCCGAAGTTTACCGTCTTACCGCCGTTGACTTCTCTGAACTCTGCAGTTGAGGGCGCATAAATTTCACTTTTACTTTTTGCAGTTTTTTGATTTTTATACTGCTTTAGATATAAATACATTTCTTTATGGCAGCTACTTAAAGTTTAACCTCAGCTGATGAAGAAGCGGGAAAATTGGCTTAGTCGAGCCGAGAGTTTATTACGACATTTGGTAAAAAAATTCGGGGCACCGAGAGAAATTACTGTGATTGGTGATCAGATCATGGTTTGAGCCACTTTAGGAATATAATTAATGAAAAGAAAATTATAATAAAATAATTCCCAAAAAAATTCACACGGGTCTTGAAATTACTGTATGTAAATGTTCAGTGGATTCTATTTTCATCTTTGAATTATTTCCGAATTTCGTTTTTTTGTTTTAGATTAATCCGTCCAACCGTTTTTCCTGCCGCTTCAACTTGCCGTTTTTTAAAACTCCCATTTTATTAAATTAGATTTCATTTAGATTTGAAAGTCATATTTCCCTTACTTAGACCCACTTTTCTCACAGTGCAAACACTTGTGACATTTCCGTCTGTCCCTGGTTCAGTTTTAGTTTTCACAGCAGCCGCCTTTCGTTTGAAGTCTTGGCATGCCTTGAATGGCCCGGCCCGGCTAATCTCCTTTTGGCCAGAAATTGAATGCATGGCAAATGTAGAGCAGCGAATTCCCCCCGCGGGCAACGGGCCACCCGAGCTAAATGTGGCCAGGAAAGTGTTGAAAATTGCCAACTGGATCGGCCCACATAGAGATTGGTCACGGGACGGATCGGATCCCCAAGGGGGATGCAAATTATTGCATCAGCTAGTCAGTGGAAAATGAAATTGTTTCTGCAACAACGAGGAGGAAAATCTAAAGAGGAGGAGGAGGAGGAGTACGGAAGGGGTGGATAAAAGCCCGCCCGAGGTGCAATCAAATGAAGCGGTTCACAAAGCAGCAGAAAAAAAGGTTAACTGCCCCACAGCCGGAGGTCTGATGATAGGTGCGGGAAGAAAGCCTCCTAGAAGACTCGATCTATGGGTCAGAAGACGCCTCTTCCAGTGCGTGTCTTGAATGAATTATTTACCTAGTAAGCTCGGGCTCAGAGGCACGAGGCCAGAGCATTTTGCGCTTCCTACTCCGCAAATTACCCACAATTAAGACGGGGTGCATGAAAAACGCTTTCCAATTACCCAAGACAAAACGAGAGGGGCAGAGAACTTTAACCAGGAAACGTTTAGAGCTCCAAGGAGGATCCAGATTCAACCCATCCATCTATCCACACACCAGTTGGTGGGATGAAACTGGGTCAGCGTGTCTATAAGGCGAAATTGACTTTCACTGGATCTAAACACGAAACGGATGCCACAAGAGGAACAGAATAGATTGGTGAATTATTATCATAGGGGAAAGGGGAAAGGAAGTGCGGATTAGTTGGGAGATCTGAATAGAAAATCATAGTTTTTAGTTTGTGATAAAAATAAAAAACCTATCAATTTTGTAAGAGAAGTCATTATAATAAAAACCTTTTCTAAATCTGAAGATTATAATAATCTGAAGGTCATAATATTTTCTCTAATGAAAATTTACTACACCCAGAAAAAAAGTACGTAAAATGTAAAAAAAATGGGCTAGAATTTAGAATAGATTCTTTAAATCATATATTGTTTTAATCTTAGGAAATTTTTGTTAACAACCTGATATATATTTTTTTAGTTTTTATAAATATTATTGAACAGTATCCTATGCTTTCAACCAAATAACTTTTACTGGAACATTCTTCACTTTCAGTTCCGTCATCTTCCCATCAAACAGGAACCAAGCAGACACACCTTGCTATACCAAAAACCCCCGTGCATCACCACACCACCTAGGCGAAACTCTTTCATCTTTCTCCCAAGTTCGTCTACTCACTATTCAATTACATTGCTCTGCACTTGAGCGCTTTCCCAATACATTTTTTGTCGCATTGCCGGCATTTTCACTAAATGAATTAATTAAATCACTCGCAACCGAGTTATACAAAAACGTAATTAGAAATTTCCACAATTGGCAATGCTATGAGGCGATGAACGGCGGACGTGCAGGGAAAGCGGCGCCAAATGCATTTTCTTTCTTTCCAAGAATCCCTGGCATCTCGAATGCTTTTCCCTTGCTGGCTGGGAGTTTTCTTTCTTTCTTTTTTATGGCCATCCAACCAGCAGATAATCCAAAGTGACAAAAGTCGAAGACACTCGCCAAGGGCAACGCTTTGCAGAGGTTATTTTCGGAAAATCCCTAATCGATTCAAGTTCATGTTGATGAGCCATAAATTAGAGTGATTTATAGAAGGTATATATGTATGTTGAGTGGTTTTTGGTACAAACTAAAGTAATTCGTAGGAGATGTACAAAATGAAATTTCTTGGAAATTAAATTAAGTAAATATATCGATTATAATATTTATGCTAAATATATTTAACTCCATTTTCTAAATATATATATTTTGTAAATATATATATATTTATTTCCATTAAATTAACTTCCTTAAGTATATTCATCCGATATAAACCCAATAATCTCAGAATAGACTGAAGGCCATTTCCACTAGCAATTTATTTTTGGAAAATCTCCCATTGATTAAAGTTTACATGGATAAGCTCTTAATTAGTGTGATATATGTTGAATAATCATAGGTCCCCAGTATTTGAGATTTATCCTAAATATATATTTTAATGATCTTGTCTATATATTTTAGAAATATATTTTTCGAAAATTCCTAATGTTATTAATGTTTTTGCTACATAGTTTAAAAATGTTCAGTAACTTACCGCTGTGGAGCTGCGTTTTCTAAGTAGATTATCCAGACACAATTGAAGTTCGAAGGCCTTTAGATACAACAGATGATAGCGATCCCTTAGTCGCTCCAAGTTTCCCTCCCCCTTCTTCGATGGGTGGGTTTGTGTTGGTTGTTGTTGGTTGCTAGTTGCTGGTGGTTGTTGGTGGGTGGGGGCAGCTGGCGTGGTTCCTATGGGTGTGGTCACCGGATCGGAGGAGGCGAAACCACTGCTCAGGCTGCTCGACTTTGTGGCCGAGTCGCTGGTTGACTCACTGGAGCAGTTGCTGGTCAATGAGGCGGGTTGCTGACTCGACAGTTGCTGCTGTTGCTGCTGCAACTGCAATTGTTGCTGCTGGAGTTGCTGCTCCTTTTCGGCTGCTCGAATGCAAGAGCTCACCACTCGAGCGTGTGATACAATTTCATGGTACAACACCTGGAATCAAAAAGAGAGCGCACAAACAAAAAGGGAAATTAAAAAGGTGTCCGAGTTGTTGGGTTCAACTTATGTGGCTACCATGACGTATACTTGATATGCCCCAGGCTGCGCTAATTGATTAGGCAAACAAGGCGGCAAAGGAAAGGAAAGGGATTTTGGGGTGAGAAAAAGAGAGAAAGGCTTGGCTTGCCGCAAAGGATATGGTTACAAAGTCTCGCAAAACCACATTAAAGTCATGTGAGAGTTATGCGTTTTCATATAATATCACTCTGCTTGGTTAAGTAAATATTTCATATTTTTCAAAACTATTAGTTTTTCAGGGATATTACATATTTTAATAATAATAAATCAATAAGGATTGTAGTAATTTGTAAAGTAACTGCATTTAATTTAAAAAATCAGCTTTCTTTAACCCATTTAACTGCGTTTTCGTATCCCAACCAATCTTAAATCCAAGATATTTTGCCCACCCCTTTGGAAAATTTTTCCAATTCCTGCAACAGCTTTTGCCGCCCATCTGCAGCGATATGGCATCGCTCATTTGTCATTTTAACAGCTGCCGGGCCTTGGCTTTTTATCCCCATATCCCATTCAACCCCAACGGCATCTTTATCCACCTCCTCCAAGCAAAGGTCATGGATGGAAAAGTCCCACGCATTGCATAAGCTCCGCTGCCATTGTTCCATGATTAATCACACAGAAGAGGGAAAAGAGGATTTTTCTTTCGTTACAGAGCGATATTCAATTTATCAAACATCAAAAAAATAATTACAAGACAATTGACGCCAAGGGGTCAAACAAAAAAAACAGGGGGAAAGGTGGGCGTGACACCCAGTGACACCCACACATGAGAGATCCCCAGGAAAAGCTGAGGAAAATCTACAGGCAGCCAGGGAAACTCCCAAGCGGGCTTCCACAATCTGGACATTGATCTCCATACAAACAGTTTAACCCCAATGAACTCTTGCATCACCGTCGTCCCGCCGACAAAATATGAAAAATCAACAAAAGGTGCAACAAAGTTGAAATTAGAAATCGATAAGTAAGGGGGAGACTTTTAGAGACAACCTTTTCACCCCAAAGTGTTCGAGCCATGGACATTTATTTATGGCCCCGGACACATCCTTACTCAACTCGAAGCCCAAAGCCGCGAGAAAAACCCAATGCAAACATAAATTTTAATTTTCACCTGTTTGAGATCTTCATTTGTTGCCGTGGCCTCCCTTTCGACACTGGCAAATTGAAATGTCACTGAGATTGGGTCTCACTTCAAACAGAAAATGGCAAATTTATGAAAATGATTTCCTTGGACAGCTCTTGATTTACCTTGGGTAATGGCCAAATTGACACTCAAAGGCAGCTGCCAAAAAAAAAAATAAAATAAACCCCCGGCAAAGTCACCTTTTGCTCCAAACTCCACTCTGCCATTTTCAGTTTGAAGAATGATCCGAGAAAGCGACGCCGCCGCGAGAAAGATTTATGGGGAAGCCTTACCAAGTCCTCCAAAGACCCCCGAGTCCCCTCTTGAAAACTGGGAAAGTTTTGACAGGCTGCCTGGGATTTTTCTCCTTTTTTCGGTGGGTTACTTTTACTACCATCAAATGTTTTTGAGCAGTAAATTTAATTATATTGCGTGGAATTTAAAAAATGTAAGTACAGGCTGTCAAGGAATTTTAACTATAATATTTGCAGTTTATATTTTTCCCACTTTTTAGTTTTTTTTTTTTTAAATTTCCTTTCGATTGTTTTTTTTAATGTTTTTAAACAAGGCTTATTATTTTGGCAATTTAGCAAGCAATTTTCTGCATCAAATTGTTTTGCATTATGATTTTATCATTAAAGCTAATTATAAGACAGCAGAAACAAAAGAATTCTTTTCCAGAGGCTTGGCCTGCTTGGTTAGGTAAATAGATAAATGAACCTCTAAGCAACTTAACCAAAGTCGAGTCATCGAATCGAAGAAGAAGAAGAAGAGGGCCGCCTGTGGCAAAGAACAAACTTTGGAAATAGATGGGGCGAAGTAAGACCTCATCGTAGGAGGATTGGGTCTTAAGACAAAAGACCGAAGACCGAAGAGGAGTCAGTCTCCGAGGAGAGGCAGGTGGTGTGGGCTGCTTATTTGCGATACTTGAGGCTCATTACCAGAATTGAAGACCAGAGACCGGAGAACCCAACCCTAGTAACCAACCAGCCAAAAGCCACAACATTGTATGTCTTTTTTGGAGGAACGCCTTTCTCTTTGTTTTCGGTCTTTCGGCTACACAACCGAAACCAAAACTAAAACCAAAACGATCCGGGCCCCCAAAAAGCTGAGGTGAACCACTCCCAATCTTGGCACGACTCTGAGCTGGGGTCTCTAAGCAGTGCTTCATAATGCATTTACCGACGCCACCCACCCACTTGAGGAAATATGAGAATTTAGAATGCAGAACTTTATGCAAAATTCGTGACTAATCTGCGCTGCCTGAACTTGAGGAGCAGCCGTTCTGTTCTTTTTCTTTTTTTATTATTATTATTTTCTGGGCTTGAATCTCTCGACTCTTGACTCTCGAGAGGTCTCAAGATTATTGGCAAGCGTAGGAAATAATAAAAGAAATCAAGGAAAACAAATTGAAGTCAGTGCAAAGTTCTCTAGATTGAAATCTGATGCAGAAAGGAAAAAAACGAAGCCAGCACGAGCGAATGGCAAGAAAAGTGAATGTGTTGGCTTACAGTGGTGTGAAAGTGTTGGAAAAAACTCCTCAATTTTAGAGCATGAGTTGGCAGAAATTATAGAAATGATTGAGGAGCTTTAGTTGAGTTCCTAGAAATGAAGACGAGCCCAAACGTGGTATACCAATTATTTTAATATCAAACCTGGGATATTATTAAATTTAAAAATATTATTAAAACTTTATCATGATTTATTGTGATATCTAAAAATAAATACTATGCATTCTTGAAAGCACTCAATATTTCATTTATTCTAAAGCTTTTCCCCTTGACTTTTTATCTGGTAAATATTTCCAATTTTTTTCTACTTAGTCATAAAAATTGCAACACATTTTTAGGCACTTTAGGAATTTTCACACTGTCTTCCAAAAGTCTGCCTGCCAAATTAAATGAAATTTTTCCTGCGTTTTTTTTTCCTACGTTTTTCTTTGCCATGTTTATTCATGCGAAATGTTCATCGCCCCTCGGAATCGGTCAAAATAAGTTCCTCTAATGCGTTGGCTATTTTTATTTTTACCAGCCGCACAAACTCAATAGAAACTGTGTGCTGGGCACGTCGCGTATCTATATCTCTATATCTTGGATGTCTGCGAGACCGAGGTTCGTTGACTCAGAGAATCTGTTGTGGTTGTTGTTGTTGTTGTATCTGCTGTAATTCGGCGTGGTTGAGAATGACCAAAGAATTGAGCAATCGGCTTTGGCTATATGTACAATAAAAAAAAGAAAAAAAGCAACAATGGCCCACCAGATCGTACATTCATTATCGGAAATGTCAGTGCGTGACCTCGACCGCGTTTTTAGAATTTTACAATTTTAGGTTTTCACATTTTATTCGGTCGCAGGCAACGCCTTCAGATATTGTCTGATTCGCCAGGGGTTGATTATGAATAGAATTTTACAGAATTGTTTAAAATTAACAAAAGACATTAATAAATGTCGGCAGCAGTGGCGATTAAAAGGCTTGAAAGTCTCGCCCAAAACGTGGGTAGGTCCAATGCCCAAGAATTATATGCTTAATCAATGGTGTTTTATATATTTTAAAAAATGGTGACTGTGGAGAACTAACATCTTATCAAAAGTACCTCGACTATTGGCTATCCGTCAGTCAGTGAGTGTGTTGCTAGCGAGTAACGGATGTTAAAAAAGTATTTTTTAATGGATTTTATAAAGAGTAACTGTTAGCATTTCTTACTGCAAAAAAGGGCAATAAATAATAGTTTCGTGTTCTGCGAAAAATCATCATTAAGCATTAACAGCTGCCTCGCCTAAAAAGACTTTTTTAAAACGCTATCAAATCGACATAAATCTCTTCCCAGAAGGAATCAAATTTATAGCCAATTTTTGTTAAGCAGGAAGCCGACAGCAACCCAAATTCCGCCCAGAAATGTCTTATAGAGAACATTTCCAAGATGTCACATAAATTGGGAACGCACGAACAAAAAATAAATTGTTGTTTTCTATTTCGTTGCCTTTTTCTTTACTTAGGTTTTTTTTTGCAAACATTTTTATGTGAAGTAGTCACGACATTTGGAACACTTCCAAATCGGCCTAAAAATAGAGTTCAACGAAAAATAGAATTAGACGAAAATCAGGCGGCGACTCTAATTACCCAAAGGAAGCTGGGAGAAGAGAGAGGAAGAGAGAGTTGATAAATGACAAACGGAAAGGAAAAGAAAAGCCGAAACAAATTGACAAAGTCCGGGAAAATGAGATGTTGAAGGTGCAGTGGAGTTGGGCATGGGGATTTTCCAGGTTGAAAGACGACCCCAAAAGTGCAATTAATCAGCTGACCCAGAAAACCACTCACAGTTCTTCAGTTCTTCAGTTTCCACCAGAGGAATTGATGTCGTCGACGTGCCGTGACCAAAAGCATCGGGAATAAACCGCTTTGAAGAGCCCGAGATCCCGACATCTCGAGATCCCGAGACCTCGAGAATGTGTGAAGTTAAGTCGGGAGTTGCAGTTAAAGCCATTGAGTAACACACATATTGGACAAGGAGTTTTGGGTTAGCTATGCTACTGAATCAGAATCTGAGTCTGAGTCTAAGCACCGTTGACATAATCACGTCCGAGTGTCACGTTCAACTCTTCGCCGGCGACAAAGATGATGGCCGGAATCCCGTCGTCTCGTCTCGCTTTTTTGGCTTTGTTGGCATCACGTTCTCGGGTCGAAGAACAAGTTTGCCTTTGCCGCTTTGTCGTGAAAATCTCCGCTGTGCTGTGCTCATTGTGGTCTCATTAGAAACATGTTACATGGAAAAACTGATTATGAAATTGCTCAACTG